TTATATTAATTCACAAAGGCCCTAACCAACACATTTTTTATTTTACAGGTGAAGTAAAAATCATAATAAAAAGGCAGGGCTTTTAACAAAGTGGCGTGTAACTCCGTTGTTTTTGGTACTAAAGTTTTTATGGTGTACTTTAATACATCCTACCGAAATCTGTGACAAACGCTGCTTCGAAAAAAGTGTTGGTTAGGACCTCTGTGAATTTATGTATAATTTTTAGCTGTATCTCAAGATGCTCATAACCATAGCTTGACTTCAGAATATATAATAATATGCAAAGTCATAGAAAAAGAGAATTTCCATTTACTTAAACACTAATATGAAGGCCAATAAATAAGTATTTAGACTAGTTAAGAAAATATTTAAATTTAAAAAAAAAATGTCTCATATTTGTTTTTCAAGATATTCTCCAGCAAGATCTATACGCTTTTGCATACAGTCGAACGTAATCGTGAGGCATTTACCCCAAGGTGCCAAATTAAGTCTGTACGCGGATGATCCATAAATTCGATGTTTAAGTGCTTAAAACCATTTATTTGGTGAGATAAGCTTACAAGCCTTTTTTCCAATCGACACGAGCCTTTTTTGTGAAATTATCACATTATGGGGATACCACGCGCACTTGCATACTTATATACATAGAATTCGAACGACCCAATGTTCAGGAAATATTGTATGTACGGGCCATTGATAAATCGCTTACCATTCGGCAGGCTCCGACATCAAAAAATCTAAAAATAAAACATTAAAAAGTTGCTTCTAATAGCTGTCACCCCTCGGCAGTCTCCGATAGAATTTTTGGCCATGAAAAACATCTTCTCATAAAAATACAATCGCCGTTCGGAGTCGGCGTAAAACTGTAGGTCCCTCCCCTTTTCTCCACAATTCGGAGGAGAAGCTCAACCAAACACTAACACATACTACATATATGTACACTAGGCGACTGATGAGAGTGTACACCTTGTTCTAATATAATATTTAAAATTATTTTCATGAAAATTTTTTTGTATTGATTACTTATAAAGATATAGTTCATTCTATAATATAGATCAAAGTTTCAGTTTTTATATGAAATTCACAAAACTTCAACAAATTTTCATAAAAATTTTCAACAAGTTTTCATACAAATTTTAAACTCTAAAATTTTTTGCAGAACGCAAACATTTTTATCACAACAACATCTTAGACTACATCTAGATCTAGGGTTGTACTTTCTTGCTACTAGGCTTCGAGGTGGGGAAAAATTTAGTTTTTAAAAGCAAATACAATTTCTTTCGTTATTCTTATTTTTTTATTTCTTATCTTTTTATTTTGTATTCAACACTTAACCCAAAGTCGCATTCGTTTCAGTTATCAACTCAAAATTGTTTATGCATTAATATTGAAAACACGTCTCCGGCCACCTGTTCTTATGCGTGGCACTGCACCACGTCGTACTACAATACGCCTGCGCCGATTCCGATTGCTGGGTCTACGCCTGCGTTGTCCACCGCGTCGACGCCTTCGCTGTGAATTACGACGACGTCTGCGTCTTTGGGCAGGAACACGTCTACGATACGGCCGGGGCCGATTTTGTCGTGGCTGACTTCCTTCGGTGCGGCCTACGAATTGCGCAACACGATCAATGCCATTGTCAGGGCTTACAACATCCTCATTTGCAATGCTGCGAGCGCCTTCGTCATCTATATCCTCTTCACTACTCACAGGCTCACTATTGTCGTCGTGNTCGTCGTTACCCGCGCCAAATTGTCGTATTGGTAGGCCGTCATCATCATCATCATCATCATCATCTTCGCCATAGTACGAGTTGTCATAGTAGTCATCATATTCATCATAATCATCATCACCGCCGAGTTCAAAACGGCTTACATAATAGAATGGACCACCTCTTGAAGGAGCTGCAGTTGTGGTTGTCGTTGTCGTTGTCGTAGTAGTTGTAGTCGTTGTCGTCGTTGTTGTTGTTGTAGTTGTAGTTGTTGTAGAGCTTGTGTCCTCTCCGTCGTAATACCCATCATCGTCTCCACCATCATCAACTGGAACTTCAATGTATTCTGTATAAAAATCGGTATCATCATC